TGTAAACCAAGCTTTATGATGAACCACCAACCTTCAGGTATTACTGCTAACAGAAGACCAGTGGGACTCTATACTTAGACACTGCCTTCCACAAAACATGAATAAGATAACTGTGTCTTCAACTACAGACTGAAGCCTCTGACTCTGGACAAAGCATATACAGCTCATCCATCTGAAAGGAAGGACTAGGTCACTCACAGCCAAAGGGGCAGTGTTCAATTCGTCTTATGATGTTGCTGACCAATGGCATTTAAAACAAGGTCCAATCTCAGTATCAAAAACTCTGAAAAGGGGCACATTGAGATGCATGCGAAGGATGCAGCCAGGAATGAGCGTAAACCATCTCCTCATTGACCTAGTCCCTTCCCTGAGGTTAATAGGTCTGTATTTCTTTTTTAGGCTATGCTTAGAAGCAGAGATGCCCTCCTCCTTGGCCTCCCACTTCAGCCTCCAGCTAAAGAAGTTATGGTTATCAGTGGCAGCCTCATGGATGGTCTCTAACTTCATAGTAATGAGACAACTGAAGATGCCTTAATAAAAGGTGTGACCCTGCTCCACTGGGCAGCTCCCTGATTGCACTACCTGATTGTCAACCTATATTTTTCCCTGAGTGGGGCAAGGGCAGTATGACCCAGTAGCTTAACAAAAATTAAAAAGAAATAATTAAAGAAAAAGATGAAACCCAGCATTCAATTTAACCAATCGATAACCAACCAATTCCCTCTTTTACCATTTTCCCTCTTTGAGCTGCTGAGCAGTAAACAGCACAACTGAAATATAGCATCTGTTCCTATTGAAAACAACAGAGAGCAGAGGAGTGACAGTAGCATTCTTAAAATGATAAGCAGCATCTAAAACCATCAGCAAGCACTGCATGTTATGGAAATAAGCTAGAAGCTTTCCCAATAAGATCAGGGGCGAAACAAGGATGCCCATTATTACCACTATTATTCATTGTATTAGAAATGTTAGCTTCAGCAATAAGAGAAGAAAAAGAAATTATAGGAATTAGAATAGGCAATGAGAAAATGAAACTACCACTCTTTGCAGATGATATGATGGTATATTTAGAGAATCCTAGAGAATGAATTAAAAAACTACTTGAAATAATTAACAACTTTAGCAAAGTTGCAGGATATAAGATAAACCCATATAAATCATTAGCATTTCTATGTATCACCAACAAAGCCCAACAGCAAGAGATAGAAAGAGAAATTCTATTTAAAATATCTGTAGATGATATAAAATATTTGGGAATCTACCTGCCAAGACAAAGCCAGGAATTAAATGGGCACAATTACAAAATAATTTTCACACAAATAAAGTTAGATCTAAATAACTGGAAAAAGATCAACTGCTCATGGGTAGGCAAAGCTAATATAATAAAAATGACAATTCTACCTAAATTAATTTACTTATTCAGTGCCATACCAATCAAATTACCAAAAATTATTTTATAGAGCTAGAAAAAATAATAACAAAATTCATCTGGAAGAACAAAAGGTACAGAACATCAAGGGAATTAATTTTTTAAAATGCAAAAGACTAGGAGGCACAGTGGATAGAGCTCCAGCCCTGTAGTCAGGAGGACCTGAGTTCAAATCGAGCCTCAGACACTTGATACTAGCTATGTGACCCTGGGCAAGTCACTTAACCCCAACTGCCTCACCAAAAATAAAATACAATAAATAAAAATGCAAAGGAAGGTGGCCTAGCAATACCAGATCTAAAATTATATTATAAAGCAGCAACCATCAAAACTATTTGGTACTGGCTAAGAAATAGAGTGGTAGATCAGTGGAATAGGCTAGGTACATAAGACACAGTAATAAATGACTATAGTAACCCACTGTTGGATAAACCAAAGACTCCAGCTTCTGGGATAAGAACTCACTATTTGACGAAAATTACTAGGAAAACTGGAAAACAGTATGGCAAAAACTAGGTATAGACCAAAATCTCACACCATATACCAAGATAAGGTCAAACTGGGTACATAATTCAGATATAAAGGATGATACCATAAGCAAATTAGGAGAGTAATGAATAGTTTACCTGTCAGATCTGTAAAGAAGGGAAGAATTTATGACCAAACAAGTGATACAGAACATTATGAAATGCAAAATGGATAACTTTAATTACATTAAATTAAAAAGTTCTTGCACAAACAAAGCCAATACAACCAAGATTAGAAGGTAAGCAGAAAGCTGGGAAACAATTTTTACAGCCAGTGTTTCTGATAAAGCCCTCATTTCTAAAATATATAAAGAACTGAGTCAAATTTATAAGAATACAAGTCATTCCCCAATTGATGAATGGTCAAAGGATATGAATAGGCAGTTTTTAGATGAAGAAATTAAAGCTATCTATAGTCATATAAAAATGCTCTAAATCACTATTGATTAGAAAAATGTAAATGAAAGCAACTCTGAGATGCAACCTCACACCTATCAGATTGGCTAACGTGACAGAAAAGGAAAATGATAAATGTTGGAGAAGATGTGGGAAAATTAGAACACTAATGCATTATTGGTGGAGTTGTGAACTGATCCAATCATTTTAGAGAGCAGTTTGGAACTATGATCAAAGGGTTATAAAACCGTCCATAACCTTTCATTTAGAAATGCCAGTTCTAGGTCTATATCCCAAGGAGATCATAAAAAATGGAAAAGGACCCACATGTACAAAAATATTTATAGCAGCTCTTTTAGTGGTGGCAAAGAATTGGAAATTGAGGGAATGCCCTCAATTTGGGGAATGGCTGAACAAGTTGTGGTATATGAATGTAATGGAATACTATTCTACTAGAAGAAACAGATGAGCAGAATTTCAGAAAAACCTAGAAAGATTTACATGAAATGATGCAAAATGAATTGAGAAGAACATTGTACACAGTGACAGCAACACTGTGTGATGATCAACTATGATAGACTTAGCTCTTCTCAGCAATACAATGATCCAAGACAATTCCAAAAGACTCATGATGGAAAATGCTATCCATATTCAGAGAAAGACTTACGGAGTCTGAAAGCACATTAAAGCATACTATTTTCATTTTTTGTTATGTTTTTCTTTCTCATGAGTTTTTCCTTTTGTACTGATTCTTCTTTCACAACATGAGTCATGTGGAAATATACTTAATATGATTAGACATGTGTAACCTGTGTCAGATTGCTTGCTGTCTTGGGAAGGGCAGTGAGAAGGGAAGGAGAGGGAAATTTTGGAAATCAAAATCTTTTAAAAGTGAATTTTGAAGACTCTCTTTACATGTAAATGAAAAAAATAAAATACTATTAAGTGGGGAAAAAATAGAAACTTACCTGCATTTCAAGGTACTTTGTAGTTCCATAGTCACTCAAATAATAAAATCTTATGTGCCTACAAACAAACAAACGAAACAGCATTCATTTTAACCAACCAACCAATTCTCTCCTTCCCCATTTTTCCTCCTTTGAGCTTCTGAGCAGTAAACAGTACAACTGAATGGCTTTCTCACTTCCTCTTTTTGCTCTCCAGGGGAGGCTCACATGCCTGTGGTTACACTAATCCAAATACGTGACCCAACCTGATGGTTTCTGCAAGGAATTTAGATTTTGGTGATACAGGAATGAAAAATCCAGACAGCAGACAGTCAAGGATCATCTCCCTTGCTTATAATATTCTATGGTGAGAGTTAAAGCCCCATATTGACATCTCTTAACAATGTCCTAAAATATCAGAGGCTGTAGCCACTCCCCATCACAGGTGATACTCAGCAGTGACCCAAGAAGGCTTGATCACACCCCTGGCTTATTCTTACTTCCCACAGACCAACAATATATCTCAAGTTTCTACCAGTTAATGACCTCCTGATTTGGACAAACAATGTAACGTGCTTCCTAAAGACACTCCCTACTACCACCACCACCATGGGAATCACAAACTTACACATGACAAAAAGCAGGAACAGAATCCCAAGACTGCTACGAAGGGAGAAATTTTCCATGGATATTTTGGTATAATGCTATCTCACTCTTCTATGTGGATAATCTGTCTCAAAGGTTATTGATCTGTCTTCTCCAGAACCAGGATGGTTAAACCACCAGCATAAATAGAAGCTCTGCTATGGTCTTAAACAGAATTGCCTTCATTCCTTGATTCTAGGAAAGATTAGAGCATCAGCAACTAGCTGAGTAGATGGCCCAATCTATGCCCATGATTCTGACCTGCTTATTTCCTGTTCTTTTCTGTCCACTTTGGGGCATAACCCTTCCTGATCATGGTAGGTTTAACAGTTCCCATGTGAGAAACTCCAAGCTAACTCCATTCAACAATTGCCCCCTTGAATATAGTCACATTCAAGATACAGAATCCTTTTTTCCTACTATGGTCATATCCGTGTCTAAAAGTGTTCTTTGCTTCCCTCACCCAACCTTCCTATGTCTGCCTGGCAAGAAGTTAATCCTATCTTCTTTGACTGGGGTCAAATCTAGTATTTTTTTACTACTTTGATGAGCATTGTCTTGGGTGTTTTTTCTCCCCTGTAGTTGCTCTGCCCAGGCCTCAGAGAGTTACTGATCTTTCTTTCAGCCCTGTTGATATTGTACAGACAAAACCCAAGGCTAACAGGATGGAAGGGGAGAAGCCAACAAATGTAAATTGAACCACACAATCACTCTTCTCTGAACTTGGCACACAGTGTGCTGTGGCTTACCTCCCCCTCCCTCAGTCCTGATGCTTTTCCTTTTCTCAGAGACTGTCTCTGGTGGAATAAGGAAAGGGAGTATTGAGGAAATTAGTTGGATAAATAAATATTAAACATTTAAAGGATATTTAATATTTCAAGAAAAGATTTCTACTGTTGTTGAAGATGTAAGGTTTGGGGAGTGGAAGTATTCAGACAGTCTGTCTACCTGTATCAAATTCCTGAGATAACTGTTCAATGTGTCTTTTCTCTATTTATATAATTTCTTCCCACACAGGATACAACAAAGAGAATAAGTAATCTCCACCTCCACAAAGTATCAAATAACTATTAAAACTTTAAAATGGATACTCTTTCAGAGAGTACATTTGAGTATTAAATTTTAAAAAGTGTTTCCCCTTAGAACCAGAGTTCCAGAGCTATCATAAATGTCTATTTGCAAAATCACAGAAATAAAAAGGATATGTATTCATTTATATTCTTATAGGTAGAGATCTGTTAGCCTGATGAATGCAATCCTGCAACAAATAAAAAACCAAAAAAATACTTCTACTGCTTAATATGCCTAGTTTCCTTCTGAAGAAGCAGAGAATATTGTCATTATAGAAAGAAAATCAGGGATACAATTGGCAATTTAAAGAAGACAAAAAGCATCTCCTTGGGAACAAACAATAGTTTTACTTTGGATGGCAAAAAAATAGGCATGATTAGGATATTTTTAAGAGAGTTGTTTCAGATAAAAACTTGATCAGGTAGCATTCAAAATGATGGCTTTGTGAAGGTTACTTAACCAAACAAGGCAGAGTAGAGATCACAAAAGACAAAATAATTAATTTTGATTGCATAAAAGTTGAAAAGCTTTTGCATAAACAACATCAATGTAGCTAAGATAAGAAAGGAAAGTGTTAGTTGCAAAAAAAATGCTTCAAATAACTACGATAGTGCTCTAAGGAAATTAACACAAATACATAAAACTTGAGAAACATTCTCCAATGGGTAAGTAATCAAACAATATGAACAAACAATTCTCAAAAGAAAAATTGCAAACTATTAACAAGCACATGAAAGACTGATACAAATCACTAATTGTACGAGAAATATAAATCAAAAGAACTCCAAGGAATACACCATTGGTGAAATTATAAACTGTTCCAATCATTTTAGAAAACAATTGGGAATTAT